TTTTTTTTTTTTTTTTTTTATGCTGTCGCTCTGACACTTCCCTTTTTGTCTTTCATTAGCAATCTAACCTTATTTTATGCTTCTTTATGTTGATGACATTATTGTTACGGGCAACAACTCATCTCTTCTTGGAAGCTTTACTCGCAACCTTCATTATGAGTTTGCTACCAAGGATTTCGATTTTCTCAGTTACTTTCTTGGTCTTGAAGCTTCACCCACTCCGGAAGGTCTCTTTATTAGTCAGTTAAAATATACTTGAGATATTCTTACTCATGCTCAGTTGCTCAATAGAAAATCAGTCCACATCTAATTGTTGATGGTTCTTCTTTCTCCAATCCTACTCTCTATCGATCTCTTATTAGCTTCCTCAGTACTTGACCATTACGCGTCCAGATATTACCCATGCTGTCAATTCTGCCAGTCAATTTTTGCATGTCTCTACTGCAGACCACTTTCTTGTTGTTAAACGTATTCTTCACTATGTTAAGCAAACACTCCAATTTGGTCTTACCTTTCGTCCATTCACTGTTCCTAATGCACTAGTGGCTTATTCGAATGCTTACTGGACTGGTTTTTTCGATCCTCGTCGTTCTAAACTTGGTTATTCCATTTATCTTGGTAACAATCTCATTTCTTGGAGTGCCAAAAAATAACCTATTGTCTCACGCTCCAGCTTTGAATCTGAGTATCGTGCTCTTGCCATGACTGTTGTTGAACTTTTTTGGCTTATGCATCTTATGTGACAACAAAAGTGCTATTTTTTTAGCTCTAATCTCGTTTCTCACAAGCGGGCCAAACATATTAAGTTAGATTAACATTTCCTCAGAAACTAGTTATCACTAGCAAACTTCACACACAGTATGTACCTTCTCATCTCCAAGTTGCTGACATTTTCACTTTTCTCGACCTCACTCTGAATTTTTCAGATTCAATCTTCACGTTCGTTCAAATTCGACGTTCAACTTGGGGGAGAGGGGGGGATGTTGAATTATTGTTTACCATATGTATCATATTTGACCCTTTATGATAAGTTATATTAAGGATATTTAGCCTTCCATTATAGTATATTATAGGTACTATATTTGACTCTTTATTAAAGGAAAATATCCAGATATTTGTCTTTTACGGCTTACTATAGTTATCATATTTTTCCTTTAATTACAGGCAAATATCTTATACCCATTTATTACTCTTCTTTCCATATCCTTTGTAATTATTTTATTATGTAAATAATTATAAATAAAGAACTTTCACCACCATTTAGGTGAGATGGTTTTAGCAAATATTCTCAGTTTGGAGTAACTTCGAGAAACGAAAGATTCGCGAACTCAAATTTAGGGAAAAGACAGCTAAGCCCAACCAAGTAACCAAGTAAGCGGCCTTACTATAGGATAGGCTGGACAATTGCTTGATGTATGACAACACGTGCCTAGTGGCACCTGCTCGTGTCATTTCTGATTTATACGCATGATGCTTAATGATGATTTATGATATCTGACATATGATGACGTAAATGAGTTATATGATGATGCCTTATCATGTTTTACGATGATTATGACGTGTTATATAATAACAATGCATACTAGTATGATGACGTAAGATGATGGTATTTCCTTAATATGACGTTATTTTTCATATTGAGATGAGAAACATGTTTTGAATACCATATTGCATTATGATAGATAATTTTCTTAAGAAACAACCCTAGTTAATATTAATGATGATGAAAGTATGAAGACTAATGCACATATAGTACTTATAATAATATAAGGATGAAATTAGGGTTGTGTTAAAGATGGTTTAAAGATGAGAAACCATAGGGACCTCATGCATTATGTTTGTACATAAACATCGGCTACTTCTCCTTTTATAATGATGAAGACGAACACGTACACTAAGATGATGATGGTGATCATGTCGCGCCTGACACTCAGGGGTCTGTTGATCTCTAAACGACGTTACTAACAGCTAGCTCAACTATGATTGGTACAGGGGGTGCAAACCGCCTGGAGATTCATGCCGCATGTGTGGATCGTGTGTAATGAAGTACTACACATCCAAGTTAGTCCGGACTTGAGGCCACCACTATGATGGCCTTAACAATATGTCCCTGGATATGACAGTAGATAACTTGCATGTGTTTGCATTTTTACGACGTCACCCAATAGTGAGGTCACTTACTGAGTATTTCTCGAATTGAGAAATACTTAGGTCGTGTGCTATATCATTTTCTTGCATGTGTTTGCATTTTTACGACATCACCTCAATGAGTATTCCTCGAATTGAGAAATACTCCGGTCGTGTGCTACATAATTTTCAGGTAAAGGCAAGGCGAACATGTTTGGCTGACAACGACAACGCAGACCATTGAACTCGAAATGACACTCATATTTGGTGAGACTTCTTAAAGTGTGCAAGGAAAAAATCTAAATTTTAAAATGTCTGAGTGATAACCAATGACACCAACCAAACAAAGTGAGAATGTTGTAAGTGAAAAAATATAAATTTTAAAATGTCTGAGCCCGGGTTTGAACCGGGGAAAGTGAGAATGTTGTAAGTGAAAAAATATAAATTTTAAAATGTCTGAGCCCGGGTTTGAACCGGGGACCTCTAGTGTGTGAGACTAGCGTGATAACCAACTACACCACCCAGACAAGGTGAGAATCCAAAATAACACTTTGAACTCGAAAGGACAGTCATATTTCGAGAAACTTCTTAAAGTGAGAATGTTGTAAGTGAAAAAATATAAATTTTAAAATGTCTGAGCCCGGGTTTGAACTGGGGACCTCTAGTGTGTGAGACTACTGTGATAACCAACTACACCACCCAGACAAGGTGAGAATCCAAAATAATGCTTTCAACTCAAAAGGACACTCATATTTCGAGAAACTTCTTAAAGTGAGAATGTTGTAAGTGAAAAAATATAAATTTTAAAATGTCTGAGCCCGGGTTTGAACCGGGGACCTCTAGTGTGTGAGACTACTGTGATAACCAACTACACCACCCAGACAAGGTGAGAATCCAAAATAACACTTTGAACTCGAAAGGACACTCATATTTCGAGAAACTTCTTAAAGTGAGAATGTTGTAAGTGAAAAAATATAAATTTTAAAATGTCTGAGCCCGGGTTTGAACCGGGGACCTCTAGTGTGTGAGACTACTGTGATAACCAACTACACCACCCAGACAAGGTGAGAATCCAAAATAACGCTTTCAACTCGAAAGGACACTCATATTTCGAGAAACTTCTAAAAGTGAGAATGTTGTAAGTGAAAAAATATAAATTTTAAAATGTCTGAGCCCGGGTTTGAACCGGGGACCTCTAGTGTGTGAGACTAGTGTGATAACCAACTACACCACCCAGACAAGGTGAGAATCCAAAATAACGCTTTCAACTCGAAAGGACACTCATATTTCGAGAAACTTCTAAAAGTGAGAATGTTGTAAGTGAAAAAATATAAATTTTAAAATGTCTGAGCCCGGGTTTGAACCGGGGACCTCTAGTGTGTGAGACTAGTGTGATAACCAACTACACCACCCAGACAAGGTGAGAATCCAAAATAACGCTTTCAACTCGAAAGGACACTCATATTTCGAGAAACTTCTAAAAGTGAGAATGTTGTAAGTGAAAAAATATAAATTTTAAAATGTCTGAGCCCGGGTTTGAACCGGGGACCTCTAGTGTGTGAGACTAGTGTGATAACCAACTACACCACCCAGACAAGGTGAGAATCCAAAATAACGCTTTCAACTCGAAAGGACACTCATATTTCGAGAAACTTCTAAAAGTGAGAATGTTGTAAGTGAAAAAATATAAATTTTAAAATGTCTGAGCCCGGGTTTGAACCGGGGACCTCTAGTGTGTGAGACTAGTGTGATAACCAACTACACCACCCAGACAAGGTGAGAATCCAAAATAACGCTTTCAACTCGAAAGGACACTCATATTTCGAGAAACTTCTAAAAGTGAGAATGTTGTAAGTGAAAAAATATAAATTTTAAAATGTCTGAGCCCGGGTTTGAACCGGGGACCTCTAGTGTGTGAGATTCGCGTGAAAACCAACTACACTACCCAGACAAGGTGAGAATCCAAAATAACGCTTTCAACTCGAAAGGACACTCATGTTTCGAGAAACTTCTAAAAGTGAGAATGTTGTAAGTGAAAAAATATAAATTTTAAAATGTCTGAGCCCGGGTTTGAACCGGGGACCTCTAGTGTGTGAGACTAGTGTGATAACCAACTACACCACCCAGACAAGGTGAGAATCCAAAATAACGCTTTCAACTCAAAAGGACACTCATATTTCGAGAAACTTCTTAAAGTGAGAATGTTGTAAGCGGAAAAATATAAATTTTAAAATGTCTGAGCCCGGGTTTGAACCGGGGACCTCTAGTATTTGAGACTAGCGTGATAACCAACTGCACCACCCAAACAAAGTGAGAATCCAAAATAATGCTTTCGAGAGACTTCTTAAAGTGAGCATGTTTTAAGGAAAAAATATAAATTTTAAAATGTCGCTAAAATAATTTGGGACACTCATATTTCGAGAAACTTCTTAAAGTGAGAATGTTGTAAGGAAAGCCCCGGTTTGAACTGGGGACCTCTAGTATGTGAGACTAGCGTGATAACCAACTACACCACCAGACAAGGTGAGAATCCAAAATAACGCTTTGAACTCGAAAGGCACTCATACTTCAAGAGACTTCTTAAGGTGAGAATGTTGTAAGTAATATATATAAACTTTAAAATGTCTGAGCCCGGGTTTTTACCGGAGACCTCTAGTGTGTGAGACTAGCGTGATAACCAACTACACTACCCAGACAAGGTGAGAATCCAAAATAACGCTTTGAACTCAAAGGATTCTCATATTTCGATTAAAGTGAGAAAGTTGTAAGGAAAAAATATAAATTTTAAAATAAGTGAGAAAGTTGTAAGGAAAAAATATAAATTTTAAAATGTCTGAACCGGGGTTCAAACCAGGGACCTCTAGTATGTGAGACTAGCGTGATAACCAACTACACCACCTAGACAAGGTGAGAATCCAAAATAATTGTTTGAACTTGAAAGGACACTCATATTTCGAGAGACTTCTTAAGGTGAGAATGTTGTAAGGAAAATATATAAATTTTAAAATGTCTGAGCCCGAGTTCGAACCGAGGACCTCTAGTGTGTGAGACTAACACGTGACAACCAACTACACCACCCAGACAAGGAGAGAATCCAAAATAACCTTTGAAGTCGAAAGAACACTCATATTTCTGGAGAGAGCTCGGGATTGAATCGGGGACCTCTAGTGTGTGAGACTAGCGTGATAACTAACGACACCACCCAGACAAGGTGAGAATTCAAAATAATGCTTTCAACTCAAAAGGACACTCATATTTCAAGAAACTTCTTAAAGTGAGAATGTTGTAAGGAAAAAATATAAATTTTAAAATGTCTGAGCCCAGATTCAAACCGAGGACCTCTAGGGACCTCTAGTGTGTGAGACTAGCGTGATAACGAACTACACCACCTAGACAAGGTGAGAATCCAAAATAATGCTTTAAACTCGAAAGAACACTCATATTTCGGGAGACTTCTTAAAGTGTGAATGTTTTAAGGAAAATATATAAATTTTAAAATGTTTGAGCCCGGGTTCGAACTGGGGACCTCTAGTGTGTGAGACTAACGTGATAACCAACTACACCACCCCGACAAGGTGAGAATTCAAAATAATGCTTTGAATTCGAAAGAACACTCATATTTCGAGAGACTTCTTAAAGTGAGAATGTTGTAAGGAAAAAATATAAATTTTAAAATGTTTGAGCCCGTGGACCTCTAGTGTGTGGGACTAACGTGATAACGAACTACACCACCCAGACAAGGTGAGAATCCAAAATAACGCTTTAAACTTGAAAGAACACTCATATTTCGAGAGTGAGAATGTTGTAAGGAAAAAATATTAATTTTAAAACGTTTGAGCCCGGGATTGAACCAGGGACCTCTAGTGTGAATCCAAAATTACGCTTTGAACTCGAAAGGACACTCATATTAGTAGAAACCACCCAAACAAGGTGAGAATCCAAAATAATGCTTTAAACTTGAAAGAACACTCATATTTCGAGAGTGAGAATGTTGTAAGGAAAAAATATAAATTTTAAAATGTCTGAGCCCAGATTCAAACCGAGAAACTCTAGTGTGTAAGACTAGCGTGATAACCAACTACACCACCCAGATAAGGTGAGAATCCAAAATAACAAAATAACATTTTGAACTCGAAAGGACACTCATATTTCAGAATGTTGTAAGGAAAAAATATAAAATTTAAAATGTCTGAGCCCGAGATCAAACTAAAGACCTCTAGTGTGTGAGATTAGCGTGATAACCAACTACACCACCCAAACAAGGTATGAATCCAAAATAATGCTTTGAACTTGAAAGGACACTCATATTAGTGAGAGTCCAAAATAACAATAATGCTTTGAACTCGAAAGGACACTCATATTAAGAATGTTGAAAAATATAAAATTTAAAATGTCTGAGCCCGGGTTTGAACCGGGGACCTCTAGTGTGTGAGACTAGCATGATAACCAACTACACCACCCAGACAAGTTTGAACCGGGACCTCTAGTATGTGAGACTAGCGTGATAACCAACTCTCTTAAAGTGAGAATGTTGTAAGGAAAAAATATAAATTTTAAAATGTTTGAGCCCAAGTTCAAACTAAGAACTTGGGACCCTCTAGTATGTAAGACTAGCGTGATTACCAACTACACCACCCAAACAAGGTAATAATCTAAGATAACTCTTTGAACTCGAAAGAACACTCATATTTCGGGAGACTTCTTAAAGTGAGAATGTTGTGAGGAAAAAATGTTGAACCGGGGACCTCTAGTGTAAGAGACTAGCATGATTACCAACTACACCACCTGAACAAGCTAACAAACAGAAATAATGCTTGAAGTATATGAGCCTTTGTTTGGTTTGATAACAGTTTATTTTCTTATCGGTTGGGTTTGAATCCACGAGCACTTAGGTGCAGAAGATCTTAAGTCTTCTCCCTTAACCTCTTCGACAACTCTACTTAATTTAATATAATATTTTAGTAGTATTAAATGGTTAAAAATATCATTCATTATGTTTCAAATTATCATGATGCAAACTTTGAAATAATATTACTTTTATCATTTTGCATTCTCGAAGTCATCAGTATAACCCTCTAGCCAATATTTCTCTTTTTCATGTTCTTTGCATTCATTTAAATCAAGTGTGTGAATTGTTGTGCGGTCCTAACAATTGACATCAAAGGTAGGAGATATTCACCATAATCTATGTAAATGGAAAGCTCAAAGATTGGAATCAAGAAGTTTGATGGATTCGATTCGATTTCTAGAAGATGCAGATTGATGATTATTTGTACGAGAAAGATCCTCATAAACTCTTGTCCAAGGTGAAGCCAATCACCATAACCCACAAAGTAGTGAAAGCTCAAGGATCGGTAGTCTCTAGGATTGATCTAGTGGATGTTGTCAAGAGTGTGGTGTTCTACATTATTAGGAGAAAACAACTTCATATATGTTGAAGACGTTGTCGAATATGTACGAAAAATCGCCGGCTATGAGAGAAGTGTATTTGATGAGTAGGTTTTTTAATTTACAAATTTCTAAAGGTGGATTTGTTGCCAATCATATAAATGAATTCAATATGATTGTAAGTCAACTGGAAATTAATTTCGAAGATGAAATCAACCCATAGATTTTGATGTCATTTTAACCCAAGTCGTGGGATACAGTTGTTGCAATTAGCCCGGGATTAAAAAAAAATTGAAATTTGATGAAATCTGAGATGTAGTTCTTAGTAAAAGTATTCACAAATGAAAAAATAGGAATTCAATAATCAATGCTCTCTGATTGAAGGGGCAGAAGTAACTCGAAGGGCTCAAACATACATAGCCAATCAAAATCAAAGAACCGAGGAAAATCTTCAAATAGACTAAACCTAACGTGTTCGAACTATGAAGAAAAATGACACTTTTGGACAAACTGACGAAATCAAAGAAGAAGCAAAATCATAATTCTAGAGATAACCATGATTCAATATATTCAGTAGAAGATAATGAGGATACTCTAATCTTTAGTGAGACAGCCCGACTAAATCCTGAATTTTTTTATTCAAGTGCATCTTTTTATGTGTTTTCAAACAATGAACTATATCGAAATTTCAAATCCTAACATTTGAGAAAGGTGTATCTTGCTAAAAAAAAAGTCCTTTTAGATTAAAGGAAAATGAGCTGTCTAAATACAAACTCCAGCCCTAAATCAGTGTATATTGAGGATGTTAGATATATTCCTGTTCTCAATAAAAATTTGATCTCTATCGATCAGTTCGATAACAAAGATTAGAAAAAGTTCATGAAACATGTGGCACAAAATCTAAAACCTTATACACCACTAAAGGGTGTATGAACATAATTGTTGTTGCTGAGAGTGCTTCCAGTTCAAGTCTATGACACAATAGACCGGAAATACGAGTGTCAAAGGAATTAAGAGGTTGTCTGCAAAGAAGTTTTAGTAGGCCTGAAATTTGTTGAAACCGATCTTTGTAAGAGATTCATTATAGGCAAATAGAAATTAATTTCACAAAGACCGTTAGAAAACCAAAAAAAGTAGGATTGCAAAAGGTCGACACAAATGTTTGAGAATCATCTTCAATTTGATCACTTGGTGGATAAAAGTTTTACATCACTTTCATTGATAATTTTAGCAAGAAGGTATGAATTTATTTCCTAAAGCACAAACCATATGTGTTTGCTAACTTCCAGAGACGAAAAATTGAAGTTGAAAATCAGACTAGTTTGAAGATCAAATGTCTAAGGTCTATGGATGAGAGTACGAAAAGTCAAAATTCAAAGCATTCTATGCAGTTACGGGAATTAGATCAATGAGAACAGTTCTCACTAAGCAAAGACAAAAGGAAGATTCTTGATTGCCAAACACATTTTGGGTTAATGGTGTGAATACAAAAGCCTACATAATCAATTGAGAATCATTAGTACCCTGCGAGTTCAAGTTGCGAGAAGAGGTGGAGACAGGAAAAGAACTAAAATACTTTCACTTAAGAACTCCTTATTTGCACCGCATATATTCATGTTGTTCTAAATAAGAGAGACAATCTTTATGTTAAGACTGTGAAGTGTTAGAAAAGAACTCTTCGCACACGCTCAATTTCACACGAATTAATTCCTTCGATATTTGAAAGAACATAGACCAAAATAAATTTAAAATACAAAAATCAAAATAATATGTGAACCAAATTTTTTTTAAATATTTTCTAATAATAAGACCATAATTATCCTAACATATAATCATTATATGTACTTTCAAAAATAAATAAATAAACTCCGTCACCAAATAACACATGCCTTCTAAAAAAACAAATTAAAAAGAATATTATAATACTAATAATAATTATTATTATCATTATTTAAAAAATTGTAGCATGTCGCATGGCGGTATAATTAATTTAAGAAAAGTAAAATTGATGACATGGGGTTTGATTTAATAAAAAATTCTAAACATAATTATATATGATCATCAATGTCTGTTGACACTCAAACCCTCGTAAATAAATATTAATTAACAATATTATTTTCTATCTACTATCTCTTGTTCAATACTTGCCTCCATAAATTTATGTGTTGTAAGTGTACTTGATTCAAAGCTACGAGAGAAATCTTAAAAGATGGGATGTATAACGGCCCAAGTCGACCGCTGACAGATATTTGTTCTCTTTGGACTTTCCATTTCGAGCTTTTTCCTCAAAGTTTTTAAAACGTATCTA